TTATCTTCAGATAGTGTGGAAGGGAGAGAGAGAGAAACATCAAGAAGTGAGAGGGACACATCAACTGGTTGCCTCCAGCACAACCCCGACCAGGGCCGGGGACGAATCGCAACGGAGGTACATGCCCTTGGCCAGCATCGAACCCAAGACTCACTGATTCGCAGGTCGACGCTCTACTGCTGAGCCAAACTGGCCAGGGGTTGAAGCCAATACTTTATGTACTATGTTAAGGAACAGTTTGAAGTTGCAGGAGTATGAACCTGGAAGCCACAGAGGGTACACACCCAGAGGCCCCAGGAAGTACACTGCCTGAGACCACCAATCTCAGCCTCTGGCTCTGAATTTTTCTAGCCATTCAGCAAAAATTACACTGATTGAGACAATAAAATAAATACAACAGACAGATACCTATAATCCAGAGTCAACCAAAGTTTCCATATACTGAATACGGAAAGGATCTTCTTCTTCTTTTTAATACATTTAATTGATTTTTTTAGAGAGAGAGGAAGGGAAAGATAGAAACATCAATGTGAGGGAGAAACATCAATCGGCTGCCTCCTGCACGCCCCCTACTGGGGATGGAGCCCACAACCTGGGCATGTGCCCTGACCAGGAATCAAACCAAGACCTCTCAGTCCATGGAATGATGCTCAATCCTTGAGCCACACTGGCCAGGCAGAAAGGATCTTCTTTGTCACAATGGCCAATTAAGAGCCCTCAACAGGGTAGCATGAATCTAAGTGTTATTCTGTCACAACCCCATTCTCTTATTCAAATCCAATCTATAAATCCTGGGACATAGTTTACTGGGATTCCCAGGGTCCCACACCCTTAGTGATGCGCCCAATACACTAAAACTTGGGACATTTATGCACAGACACAAAAATTGAACTAAAAAGCTACCTCCATTCCAGACTCCTGAATGCTACTGAGAAGTCATAAAAATAAACTTCACTGTGGGTTTGATTCCATCCCATGGGAACAGTAACATACTATGAAAATATTCAACCATTAGGGTTTAAAAAAAAAAAAAAAAAAAAGGAAGGGTGGTGGTAAGAAAATAGTATATACACATTTCCTTGTATATGCACAGAATGTTTCTGGAGTGATCCTTGGGAATTTGTACTTTAGTTGCTAATATTTTGGAGGGGCTCTGGATGGCTGGTAAAGAAAAAGGGGGAGGAATTAGAAGGACTTATCTCTAGTCTTCTCTTTTCATTTTAACCATGTGAATAGAATAAACTATCTATTCAAAAATAAGTTTTTTAAATTAATTTTTAGAGAGAGGAAGGGACAAGGAGAGGGAGTGGGGAGGGAGAGAGAAACATCAATTGGTTGCCTCCCATACACATCCTACGGGGATCAAACCCACAACCTGGGTATGTGCCCTGACCGAGAATCAAACCAGTGACCTTTCAGTGCATGGGGCAACACTCAACCAACTGAGCCACAATGGCCAGGGCTCACCTTATGCACTTTTCAAACCTCATTAATATTCTTTCACTTGATACTCTTAATATTCCTATAACTTAAGTGATATAGGTATTATTATTTCCATTAAAAAAAAAATGACATGAAAAGAGAGTAGTACATTAAAAAATCAATGATAGAGCCATAAACGGACTCTACTGACTTCTAGTGTACATTTATTTGTTAGAGCAAAAGATTAAAAAAAACAGCCTGGCCGGTTCGGTTCGGCCCAGTGGTTAGGGTGTCGGCTGGCGAACCAATGAGTTGTGGGTTCGATTCCAGTCAAGGGCATATACCTCAGTTTCAGTTTATCCTAGGCCATGGTCAGGGTCATGTGTGAGGCAACCAGTTGATGTGTCCCTCTCACGTCAATGTTTCTCTCTCTCCCTCCCTCCCTCCCTCCCACTCTATCTGAAGAGAAATGGGAAAATATCCTCAGGTGAGGATTAAACAAACAAAAAAACACACACAAAGTACAAAAACTAACTATTTTGCCCTGGCCGGTTTGGCTCAGCAGTTAAAGTGTCGGCCTGCGGACTGAAGAGACCCAGGTTCGGTTCCCGGTAAGGGCACATACCTCGGTTGCAGTTTGTCCCCGGCCCTGGTTGTGTGAGTAACAACCACTCGATGTGTCTCTCTCACATCGATGTTTCTCTCTCTCTCCCTCCTGCTCTTCTGAAGATAAATGCAAAGAAATGTCCTCAGGTGAGGATAAAAAAAAAGAAAGAAAGAAACTGCATAACCAGTGTGTATAAAGTAATTTTCCAAACTGAATCAAACATTAAACTTTTAAATAGTTTTTATGGTCTTTTTTTTTTCTTTTTTTTTTTCAAAAGAGAGGTAGGAAGGGAAAGAGAAAAACAATTGATGTGAGAGAAACATATTGATCGAATGCCTCCTTTACTCTCCCCAACCAGAGATCAAACCTGCAACGTAGGTATGTGCCCTGACTGGGAATTGAACCCGAAACCTTCCAGGGTACAGGACACCACTCTAACCAACTGAGCCATACTGGCCAGGGCTTAAATAGTTTTTGTTTTGTTTTTTATCCTCACCTGAGGACATTTTTGCATTCATCTTCAGATAGAATAGGAGGGAGAGAAGAAGAAAGAGAAAGACACATGGATTGGTTGCCACCCACACGACCCCAACCAGGGCTGGGACAAACTGCAACCAAGGTACGCGCCCTTAGCAGGAACCAAACACAGGTCTCTCTGGTCCATGTGCTGACGCTCTAACCGCTGAGCCAAACCGGCCAGGGCTTAAATAGTTTTTAAAAAGTTAAATTTTATGTTATGTATATTAATGATAAAAATACACATATACACACATACTCTTTATCTGCGTGGGCAGTCTCTGGAAAAATCAGAGAAACCTATAATAAATCTTGCCTTTAGAAAAGGGAACTAGATAGCAAGGAATTAGAAGTGAAGAAATTTACCTACCACTATATATTCTTTGTACCTTTTGAAATTTATCCCACATTAATATATTATCTATTCAAAACCTAATTTTCAATCAATCTTATTGACTGAAATCTGAACACAGAGCAAGAAAATATATGTAAATCAAAATATATTATGTCCTATGCTTTGTATGAGGCAAAATAAAATTGCCCCTAAATAATTTTTTAAATATGCCTCAACTTTCAAAAACTATTTAACAAGAAAAATGAACTGTTTCAAAACTTAAAATATCTAAACAGAACACAGAAATAAGTAAAAAGGTCTTATGAGAGTTTTGTTATGTACAATATAACATTGTTAATCCAGATTAAATAAAGAAAAAAATAAGTGGAATAAATTAAATAATAATACCTAATGTTGTTCTAAGTTTCAAATCCCAAGCAAATTTGTCACAAGCTAATAATGTTCTGAGAGCTTTAAAAATGTCCATTGAGCCTTGGCCGGTTTGGCTCAGCGGTTAGAGCGTCAGCCTGCGGTACAGAGAGACCCGGGTTCGGTTCCCGCTAAAAATGTCCATTGACAACAGTGGTTCTCAAATTTTGGGGTCTCAGATCCCCTTTACACTCTTAAAAATTATTAAGATCCTCAAAGAGTTTGTTAATATGAGTTATATTTATCTATAAGTACAATATTAGAAATCAAACTTCAAATTTTAAAAATATGTATTCATTTAGAAATAATAATTTAAAAACCCATTCTATTTTTACATTAATAACATCATTTTCATGAAAATAAACTATATTTTCCAAAATAAAAACCAACTGTAATTAGAAGAATGGCACTGTTTTACGTGTCTGCAAAACTCTCTCATGTCCAGCTTAACTGAAGGCAGCTGGATTCTCCTAACTGGTTCTGCATTCAGTCTGTTGCAATATCACATATCATGTAGCTTTTTAAAACTCCAATATACACTTGTGAAAAAAACAAGGTTAAAAATAGCAAATTCTGTCTTTGACTTATTATGAAAATAATTTAGACTTCACAGATCCGTGAAGGGGTCCTTGGAGCACACAGGGGTCTCCAATACACTGTGAGAACTACTTAGTCACACCAATCCTAGGAGGCAAACTTGGAAACCGACGCACAGAGGGACTAGTTACTCCAGTCACAAAGCCAGGGCGGGAACTCAGGGTTGCCCCTGGGGGCTGGGTGGAAAGCAGCAGGGCTCCTTTATGTTTTACATTGTGACACAAAACCCTAGGCTGCCTGGCAGTCACAATACCTGACCTCCCTTCTTTCTATTATACTCATGGATCTCAACTCCACTTTTAGTCCCCTCCACCCCATGGTCTCAAACTACACTTTGTTTCCTGTCTTCCATTCTAGATCTACCAGTGTTCATGTCTTTCTCTCATCATTTTACGTTCTTTTGTTTTGCTTCTTTTTGTTATTTCACGTGGGAAGTGTATCATAGCTTCAGCATTATTAACCTTTCTGTGTAATATCCCATTCATGGTTTGATAATACATATCTATTATTTTAAAGTAAAAATCCATTCATTCATCAAATATTTACTGAAGGCTAACTTTGTGTCTAGCACTACAGCTACAGTAGAGTTTAACTGTCTCACAGAATTGACAGTCAGTAGGTTGGAATAGGCAATGTAGATATATTCTTTTCCCCAGACTATAAAGAAAAACAAATAGTATTGAGCCCTGACCAGTGTGGCTCAGTGGACTGAGTGCTGTCCCATGCACCAAGAGGTCACCGGTTCGATTCCTAGTCAAGGCACATGAGCCCAGGTTGTGGGCTCCATCCCCAGTAGGGGGTGTGTAAGAGGCAGCCTATCGATGTTTCTCTCTCACATCAATGTCTCTATCTTTCTCCCTCACCCGTCCTCTCCCTCTAAAAAATCAATAAAAACATATTTTTAAAAAAAGAAGAGACAGTATTGATCTGAAGCAATAGTTAGCAAAAAGACCTTGTAAATAGGGTACAGCAAAATAAGTACTTTAAATAGCACGATAAATCCAAGAAATGTAAAAAGAACAGAAAAGGGACCTCTTCTATCTTATGAGTTATATCAGTAATTTAGAGTTAAGAACAAAGAAAATATTTCCAAACCTCACATCCACTGTATTATTCGACTCATGGTCAAACACTTCAAAAGCCTCTTTGATTTTTCTGTGTAATTCTGCTACTACTATCTCTGCAAAGACAAAGAAAATAAAAATTATTTTACTCTATGTTTTTAATTCAACACAAAAACTTCAATAAACTGGAAATTCTCAATTAAGGAGGAACATGCAGAACTCGTTCCTAATCATCTTAAGGTGTCACTGAGCATGTTTAACGTCCTCTGGCAACCTCAAAGAATGGAACAAACTTTGTTTAGACCTTTTTACTGAGGCATAATACTCATACAATTCAGTACAAAAGGTGCACTACTCTTAAATGTATACAAGTTTTTACGTATGTATTTAATCATGGAGCCACCACTCAGATCAAGATATAGAACATTTTCAGCACAGCTTATCCTCTATCTCAAGTAGTTTGGGTTGAGTCCTAGCCTGAGAGGCCAAGAGACCCAGTGACACAGATATTGGTTGCAGTGCACAAGTGTGCCCACCTGCCTTGCTTTTTCTAGGCTTGAGGGCTGAAGTTGGGGGTGAGAAGCATACAAAAGCAACATGTGACAGACACTCTTTTAAAAAGCTTTCAGCCCTGGCCAGTTTTGCTCAGTGGTTCGAGCGTCAGCCCGTGGACCAATGAGTCGCAGGTTCAATTCTGGTCAAGGGCACATACCTCGGTTGCCGTTCATCCCTGGCCCTGGTCAGGGCCTTATGGGAAGCAACCAGTCAATGTGCCCCTCTCGCGTTGACGTTTCTCTCTCTCTCTCTCTCCCGCCCTCCCACTCTATCTGAAGATAAATAAAAAAATATCCTTGGGTGAGGATTTAAAAAAAAAAAAAGGTTCTGAGACTAAGACCTATATATGAAACAATTAAAAAGTCACTTATTTAATAAACATTTATTGAGTACCTACTATGTACTAGACCCTATTCTAGGTGGCAAGGTTATAGCAAGGAACAAAACAGGCAACAATCCCTGCCTCCATGGGATTATTTTATAGGGGGAGATACAAAACTTATACATATTTGGTAAAAATATGTAGTACAGCAAGGAAAGGACATGAAGAGTGCGGGGCGTCCATGGAGGAAAAGGGTAGTATGAGGCTTGGGGAGGCCTGCTTCAGGATAAGGTGACATCTGCGCAGACCTGAAGGAGGGGAAAGAGCCAGCCGTATAAATATCTGCAGGAAGAGTTTTTAGGCAGAGTCAACAGAATAGCAGAATGGCAAGAAATAAGGTCCGAAAGATGTGTTTAAGGGTGGCGAACAGATTCTATAAGGGCTCTGCAGACTGCATTAAGGATTTTGCCTTTTATTTTCAACAAGATGAGAAACCGTGGCAGGGTTCTAAGCAACGATGTGACATGGCCTGGCTTATATTCACTTTGGCTACTGTGTTAAGAATATACTGTAAAGGCACAAGGGTGGAATCAAAGAGACCAGCTAGGAAGCTATTACAGTTTTCTAAGTGAAAGACTGATGGTGGCTTGAACCAGGATGGTTACCAGTGAAAGTGGTGAGAAATAATAGGATTTCAGATATATATTCTAAAGGGCAGAGCCAATAAAACTTGCTGATAGGTTTGATGTAAAGTACAGAAAGAAAAGGTTGAGGTTGACTCAAAGGTATTTGAAAGAATTTTTTAAAATAACGATCATGTCTCCAGATTTGTTTTTCAAATAGTAAATACAATAGGACATGCAAAAGAGAAAGATTAAGTATGAGTTTAGATCATTATTTTAAGTATAAATATATCAGAAAATGGTGAAAATGTCAATGAACTCAAATTCCCTTTAACCCAACTTAAGTACCATTGTTTTGCTATATTTTCCTCTAATCTTACTTCATATACAACCTTTTATATATAGTATTTAATAACCACATTTATTCATTCAACAAAAACTTATTGAATAAACACTATATCAGGCCCTGTGTCAGGTGCTACATCTACATTTACAATCAGAGAGGTAAGTATCTCATTTTTAGGGGGAAAAAAATCAAAGTTCAGAGAGATTCATACTGGCCCAAGATCACAGAGTTACTAAGTGGCAAAGCTGGACTGAACCCAGATCTTTCTTACTTGAGGGATCCTGCTCTCTCTCAGCCCCTACCACACCTAACTAGTTTAAGAACTATAACTCCTGCCCGGCCGGAGTGGCTCACTGGTTGAGCACTGACTCATGCACCAATAGGTCCCCGGTTCGATTCCTGGTCAGGGCACATGCCCAGGTTGTGGGCCAAAACCCCAGTGGGGGGCATGCAGGAGGCAGCCAATCAGTGTTCTCTCTCATTGATATTTCTCTCTCTCTCCCTTCCTCTCTAAAATCAATAAAGAAAAAACATTTTTTAAAAAAACATTAACTCCTGCCCTGGCCAGTTTGGTTCAGCGGTTAGAGCGTCGGCCTGCGGTCCAGAGAGACCTGGATTCGGTTCCCGCTAAGGGCATGTACCTCGGTTGCAGTTTGTCCCTGGCCCTGGTTGGGTTGTGCGGGAGGCAGCTACTCGATGTGTCCCTTTCACATCGATGTTTCTCTCTCTCTCTCTTCCTCTCTCTCCTTCCCACTCTATCTGAACAAAAAAAACTATAACTCCTGCCCTGGCCAGTTTGCTCAGTGGTTAGAGTGTCAGCCAGAGGACTGAAGGGTCTCAGGTTCAATTCCCGGTCAAGGGTACATACCTGGGTTGCAGGTTCAAACCCCAACCCCAGTTGGGGTTGTGCAGGAGGCAACCAATCAATGTGTCCCTCTTACATTAATGTTCCTCTCTCTCTCTCTCTCTCTCTCTCTCTCTCTCTCTCACTCTCTCTCTCTCCCCCTCCCCATCTTCTACTCTATCTGGAAATTAATGGAAAAATATTCTCGGGTGAGGATTAACAACAACAAAAAGAGTACAAATTATAACAACTTAGTCATGGAAAAAAAAAAATCAACCCAAAAGGGAAATATTAGGAATAAAAATATTGGTTTGACATAGTCGGATTATCAAGATTGATGTTAGCCAATTTTCCCCAATTAGAAAAGCATAACATTCCATTATTGCTAAAACTGATACAACAGAAATAGAAAGTATGTATAGTATACTGATTATGAGCACTGACCCTGGAGCTAGACATCTGGGTTCAAACTTGGTTCTTCTACAACTAGCTGTGAGATCTTGGGCAAGTTGCTGAGTCTCTCTGTGCCCAAGTTTCCTCATCTTAAATGGTAATAATAATAGTGTCATCCTTGCCCTGGCCAGTTTGGCTCAGCAGTTAGACTAGCGTCAGCCTGTGGACAGAGAGTCCCAGGTTTGGTTCCCACTAAGGGCACATACCTCGGTTGCAGTTTGTCCCCGGCCACGGCTGAGGTTGTGTGGGTGGCAGCCACATGATGTGTCTCTCTCACATTGATGTTTCTCTCTCTCTCTCTTCCTCCCTCTCTCCCTACCACTCTATCTGAAGATAAATGAAAAATAAAAAAGCCCTCAGGTGAGGATAAAAAATAAAAATAAAAAATAATGCCATCCTTGGAAAATAGTACAGCAATTCCTCAAAAAGTTAAACATCAAATTACCATATAACCCAGAAATTCCACTTCTGGACAAACACTCAAAAGAATTAAAAGCAGGAACTTGAGCAGGTATTTGTATACCAATGCTCACAACAGTATTATTCACAGTAGCCAAAAGGTGGAAACAATCCAAATGTCCACTGATGGATGAATGGATAAACAAAATGTGGTATAGCCCTGGCCAGTTTTGCTCAGCAGTTAGAGCATCGGCCTGCAGAACAGAAGGACCCGGGTTCTGTTCCCGCTAAGGGCACGTACCTCGGTTGCAGTTTGTCCCCGGCCCTGGTTGGGGTCATGTGGGTGGCAACCAGTCGATGTGTTTCTTTCACATCGATGTTTCTCTCTCTCTTTCTCCCTCCCACTCTATCTGAAGATAAACGCAAAAATGTACTTGGGTGAGGATAAAAAAAATTTTTTTAAATGCACCCTGGCCGGTTTGGCTCAGCGATTGGAGCCCCAGCCTGCGTGCCACAGAGTCCCGGGTTCGGTTCCTGTTAGGGCACGTACCAAAAGGGAAAAAAAGAGAAAAATGCCCTGGCCAGTTTGGCTCAGCAGTTAGAGCGTAGGCCTGCGGTCCAGAGAGACCTGGGTTCGGTTCCCACTAAGGGCATGTACCTCGGTTGCAGTTTGTCCCCGGCCCTGGTTGGGTCATGTGGGAGGCAGCCACTCAATGTCCCTTTCACATCGATGTTTCTCTTTCTCTCTCTCTCTTCGTCTCTCTCCACCCCACTCTATTTGAACAAAAAAAAAAAATGGAAAAATGTCCTCGGGTGAGGATAAAAAAAAAGTTTTTTAAAAATGTGGTATATACATACAGTGGAATATTACTCAGCCTTAAAAACTAATTAAATTCTGACCCATGCTATAAAATGAATAATCCTTGAAGACATTAAGTGAAATAAGACAGACAAAGAGGACAAATACTGCATAAATCCACTTCTAGAAAGTACCTAGAATAGTCAAACTCATAGAGACAAAAAGTAGAATGGTAGTTGCCAGGAGTGGGGCTGGGGAGTTATTATCTAATAAGTACAAAGTTTCTGTTTGGAATGATGAAAAAATTCTGGAAATGGGTGGAGGTGATGGTTACACAACAATGTGAATGTACTTAATGTCACTGAACTGCACTTATTATGTATTTATTATGATAAATAAATACACTTTACCCTAATTCAAATGTATTGGTGGTTATAAAATTAATAACACTGGTTTAATAATTCTAATATTCCTTCTGAACACTATTATCCAAGGTTCCAACCAGCAAGCCAAAACCAAACTAAAGCATCACTTTCTTCTTCTTGCCCTTTATTGGCTGATGATTTTTTTTAAGTATCCCTGACTTCTCTTATTTAACTAGGCTTTTCATCATAAAATTTAAAAAGTCAGATTGATTGTGTATATTCTTGCCAAAATATAAGATCTGTTTCATCATATTTACCATAGTAACATGTCAGAAAATTATATTAATCTATTAACATTTTCATATTGACAGCCTAATAAGAACTTTAGAAAGTTTTATTGTTGTCAGAAA